GAACAAACACAACATTAGTATACCTATAACCAAAAGGTTATTTTCATAGATATTTAAAAGGGGAAAATTAGGTAAATTTGATTATCTACCCTGAATTACAAGACAAAAACTAAAATTTTGCAAAGCTTGATGGGTAAAATCCAGGTTAGACTAAACCCTAAACCCTGGTTTGTTTTATTACAAGCTACATTAGATCAAACAGAAACAAACACCTCTCCACCCATTTTTTTGATGTTTTTTCTTCTATTTTATTCAATATACACAAGTTGCATATTACTAGTATTTTGTATTGCTGCATCTAACAATGGCTAGTGTTTACCAGTACTGTCAATCATTAACCAAGAAAAAAAAAATAAAAATAGGATCTAACTAATACTACTTCCTGTCACAATTTCTCTATCCTCATTTCCAGACCCAGGGATAGAGGGACTACATGTATGTGTACATCTTGCACTACCCGGTATCTTGCATTAGTTGATAAAATAATCAGGGGCGTCGATCCATTCTGAAAAGTGAGGGGGACACTTTTGGGTCCGCGTAAGTGGGGACTGCTTTATGTTCCGACATATCTATGTTCCGACACCACTATGTTCCGACACCCCTATGTTCCGACACATAGTATACTTGTGTCAAACTTAATCTGACTAGCCGTGCGTGACCTTTTACTACCTTGATATAACCAGAATGTTCTGCGGGTTAATACTTGAAATTCAACTGTAGTGTAGTCCGGCCATGATGCTCGAAAGTCCGTGAAGGCGGGATCTTGCATAATGTTATCGGATAATTATCAGAGAATTATCAAACAATGTTGCCCATTGTATCATTCTAATACTTCGACAAATATTTGACAATATCCGTGTCTGTTGGATGTGGTTCCAACCACCGTCCTGAGGGACGGTGTTCCAACCTTAAATCCTCCGATTGCCTAACTATCAAAGTTTTAGATCGATACGTATCGGAGAATTATTTTACCTTTTTTTTATAAAAGTTGTACTTTGGTATTCATCAGTCGCGGAATTGCAAGGTTGTCGTTTACATCCGGTAGCACCTTTCCAAGTTTATCTACATATTAATTAAAATCATTTATTTATTTATTTATTATGCGAGAGATGAATAG